GCACTTGGTGTCGTCTCTATTGAGCCTCTTATGATAAAATGAATAGAAATGTAGATATTGTCAATGCATTTTACGCTAGTTCACATCCAAGTTTCCACTTCACTTGATGGCGAATAGTCAGTCTGGGTGCATCTTTATGTCGTCAACATGCAAGCATATTTCATAATCTTTTCGTTCTAAGTGAAAAACGAATCCCTCCGGGCTGCAACCTTACAATCTGGACTCGAAGGAAATCAAATATGGAAGTAAATTTTTAGCCTCAAAATCCTTCTATTGTTTATTGCTTATTCTGTAAGCCAAGTTTGTCAGCAAGTGCCTGCTTCACTCAGAACCCAGTCTACAATTTATGATCAAGCTTACATGTTCACGTTCACGTTCCAGTAGCAACGACATAAACTCGCTATTCCCTATACAAATAGCTATTACCTGTTCACAATAAAGATCTAGAAGGATAATTATGCATCATTTTTGGATGCTTTTGTTACGAGAATAGAGGTTAAATTAGGCAAGAAAGTATTTAAGAATCCGAAATATCCTGGCACTTTCATCAGCCTATAGTTGAAAAACAAATGTTGGTATTTTTGTTTAATGGTATTCAATAGTGAAGAGCCTAGGTGATTGGTAAAGTGTATTAGCTATGGTTAAACGAATATTATTTGAGAATAATTGTCTTTTGGGCTTAATTCAAAGTAACATAATAATAACAATAGGAAACTAATTTAAGATAGTGACTAATTGAGAGAAAATGAAAAACAAGAGAACTCTCCTCATGCCTCAACTTTGCCGTGATGCGCTCTGTCTATGACTTATATGGAATTAAAGCAAAAGGTTTCAAGAAAACTTTCACACTTTCCTCAGTATGCCCATTTTTACAGAGTGAATTCATACAGTATCAAGACCAAGCTCATATTAAGTAGTGTATTCATATGATCCTTAATTATTTTGGAGTTACTTTTTGCCCCATTCAACGAAGGATGCAAAGACAGAAAATGCATTTAGAAGTAGCTTGTTCTAATGTAAATAACCAGTAGAGCGCATATGGTAGCTGATTTTGCAAACAAGCTCCAGATTGGTAAGATAGTCAATACATTGTATGTAGCTGTGACCTCGAATTTGGTCATAATTTCCTTTAGTTGTACAGTGTTAATCTAGCCCCCTTTTTGCAACTTATTCAGTGTGAAAGGGAGACACTATGAAACATACCTAATCCTACGTCTTCGTTCATAGTAATCATGATAATTTTCTGCATCACAACAATGACTTAGTTCATTCACAAAGATTTGTAACTCTGGGCTGAGGTTGGCGCCTCTCATTGATGGTGTCGACTATGCTGGCAACAATGTGTACCTGAGAATGTACCGAGTCAACAGTCCGATGCCATTCATTGTCCTGAACACTATGGCAAAGGATGTGAAACTAGGTAGGATTCATGAAGTCTGCCTGTCACTCCTACCAAATTGCGAAAACTAGGTCAATCCAACAAAATATCGTCAGTGCCAGGGATGCCATTAAGAGGTAAAGAAACACTTGTACCTAATTAATAGGCATAAATGTAGATAGGTTTTTGAGCTATCTAGAACAAGGTCGCGACGCAACTAATCTTTTGTTTAATAAAAAATGTGGTTCGATAGCCTCGAAGCAAACTTAGTATAAGTAAGCTACTTTGTTATGGGCAGATATTCTACATGTCTGAGTTGATTGACACACGCATGGAATGTGTCACAAACCCTACCCCAAATAAGTTCAAGATGGTTGCTCGCTCCGACGCTGTCCACGATTCTACAGCAAAATGCTCATTATACTTTCATTGAGTGAATAGATATTAAAATAGGTCTTTTCTAAAACTTTTTTAAAATTCACTGTGTTCAATTTGCCTAATTGTTTGAAAGAACAGAAGGATTTTATGTTTGCATAAATAAATTATTCTTATGCGATCTTTGGCTTCGAAGCCAACGAATACATTCGCATTCTTGCTCATATTTACTGCAAAAAAGTGTCACTTTCAAATAAAGTTAGTTTTTAATAACCCTATGAAATGTTATAAACGTATATAAACTTGAATACTAAGCTTAATTGAATATATAAAGACCAAGATGTTGTGGTCTCTTTGACGAGTTCGTAGCTTGGTGCTCACTGATGATGCCGACTACGATGCCGGCGAAACGTTTGAGAATGTATCAAATCGTCTGTCAGATGCTGGGAAACATGACAGCTCCTATGGCAGACGAATTCGGACTAGGTGTGTTCTACATAGTCCCCATGACAACAAGACCAAGTTGCGACAACGAGGTCAACCCACTGCTTTGAATACTATATGATGATATATCGGCCTCAAAAATGGACATTATTTTAAGAAGTCAAGCTTAAGTAAATCAAGACTGGCATAGCTCTGGATCATTCCCATTGGTGAGTCACCCGCTGGATAATTCGCTATCCAACCAAAGAAAATATTATGCTTCGTGGGCTATTCTATCCTCTTATTCAGAAGAGAATAAGTTCAACAAAAGACTAATGCTCTCATTGTAAACTTCCAATCCTGGACAAGGTCTCTGGGTTGCTCTGAAGTGGAAAGGAGTGCAGATGAAGGAACCTTTGGCCTTCCAAAGCTCTTTCGCTCAGCTACTTCCTGGCCAACTTCTGCTTGTAAATCTGATGAATGGAACCTGCAGATAAGGGCGGAAGGGAACAAGTACTGCTAGTGAATAAACTGGACCAATTGGTTAATGAACTTAGTATGGATATTGAGTAGACCATAAAGTCAAATGGCAACTGAACGAGTTTTTTGAGGCCGTTAAGCCTCAGTGAGCACAGCCGGACTTGGAGAGAGGATTTGTGAGAACAATACAGTCATGATCAGTTGAAGGTGCAGCCAAAAGCCAGACTAGTGCCCACAATGCCGTGAGCCATCTTATCAAAGCGGAAATCAACGGCTGTAAACCGGGAGAAGAAAATCTGATCTCTACAACCGCCGCCGGTTTCTAACGGCTGCCGGCTCACCATATGCAATGTCACCAAATACACTAGCCCTCTTCTGGCGAAAGTATCGTCGAAATGCCTCAGTACGATGGTACAAGCTGGTATTTGGGTTTGCAGGTTAAATATTATGCAATGCCAGTTTTTAACAAACATACTTAAAAAGCCATCAATCCTCGCTAAATTCACGAATACATATCATGTAAGATAAAAATAGTATTACTTACCTGTGAAAGATAGGCCGATAAGCACAGAGTTTAAGTTAAGTTAATTCTCTTAAGATCCTGAAATAATGTCCAAAGAGTGGGAACGGAAAGTGTACGAGGATATAATTCCTCAGTACGTTGGAGTGTTGATGTGTGTGTTAGCACAATAGGCTATCGGAATGAGCCAATGTCCGCAGTCGGGTTATGATTGGCTGACAGTTCGAGCCAATCATAATTCGGCATTTATAGTGGTTGGGACAATACTTTATTGTAAGAGGACAAGTGACAAATCATTTATAAAGAGGGCAAATTACTTGTCCTATTTAATGCTTCAAATGTCAGCATGTATACATTATGTAGTGTAGCAACGGCAAAAGTGAGGGCCATAATTAAGTTGTATCGCCGAATGATGATAATATTAATCGCTTCAACAGTTGATCATCGATATTCCATTTTCGTGCTTCGGCGAACATACTTTTCTTACACAGAAAACATTTGGGGGTATTTTATCATTAAATGTTAATCATTCTTCTCTCCCTAGGTCCTGTTTTGCTGTTACCTCAGATACAAGCTAATTAATATCCAATCTGAGACAGACTGACGAATGCTAGTAATTCATTTACTCGTTAGGAGGGATCGAGGTAGTAATTTGGTGGGAAGCTGATTGTACTGAAACATTTTTTACTTTTACATTATTTTGCGTAATTTAGCAAAATCACATTTAAAGTACAATTGAAAGTAAGCCGAATTATCACAGTAACCATAGCTTTAA